AAATCAGGAAAATTTATTAAATTATCAACAACTAACAATGTGGTTAATGGAATATTAACAACTGCTGCTTAACAATACATCTAACTATCAAAAATTCAACTGCGAAAACGTGACAGAATACCAAAAAATACAACTACTTCATCCAGTGATTCAACAAGATTATGGAGATTGGATAAATTATAAGCACTGTGTTAAAGATCAATTGGAGGCGTATTCTGTACAAGTTCGAAGCACTTCGAGCTTTAGTCCTACATTGGAAAAAAATAATTCAATTGTTCATTATAGGAGGGCTCGGCTTTCAGGGCATCAGCGATTTTTGGACATAAACGAGCGCTTTATTTTATAAAGGATGTGAAAAATAGATGCCTGAGTCGGCGCGCGACGAGTAATCGGAAGCATGAGGGAGGGAAACAGTGAGGAAATAGTATAAAGAACAGGCCGTCAGTCTCCCACACTATATGGCGGTGAAAGCTTGCTGACACTTTCAGAACTCAAATTTGTGAGAATATAGAAAAAATTGCACAAACAACTATTGAGCAAATACCTGAGGAAAATGCTAACACTACGACTACTCACAACGAACTAACTATTAATTATTATTAATTACCGCTTGATCAACTTCAGTTTTCTTATCATCCATTTGAAATGTGCTGGCAGAGGAGCATATATTCGAATTGGAGTATTTGATCGAGGCGCGGCTGGTAGATTAACCTTAGAAAAACATACATTTGCATATCTGGGTGACAAAACCAAATCTTCTGGTAAAATCAGCAATTATGCTAGAAAGCAGCTTAATTAAAGCTTGCAGCACCTTTGTTCGCACTCCCTCGATAAAAATAACAGCACCGCTCAAGTCGCGATTTACATGAAAGTGGGTTCATACATTGTGGCTTTTGAGAATGGAAGATACGGCGAATCAACTTATTGAGAGAACGCGCACCAAAGTAAGCAGTGCACTGTGTTTTTCAAACTTCAACTCGCCCATTTCCCTATTCTTCCATCGCAAACGAGGTTCGCACTTAGGACAAAAGGAATTCAAAAAATAGTTACATACCTCTTTCAAGTGAAGATACATCGGAATCTTGCGAGACTGCGAATCTGTCACATTGAGTGCTCCCAGAACATGATGCGACAATCTGAACAGGCTTAGAGCTCATCGTTTAGTTACTTATTCATCAACTGGTCTGGCTCAATCAGATCAACGCGTTATCGTGCACACCCTCAAGAGTTCGCAGTTAATTGGAGTACATTTTCGAGGGTCAGGTCCAAGAGATAAACGTCTCCTAAACTCTGTAACTTAAAGACAGCGCCCGCGGTCAACCAAGGTGCAGAAATCTTTTAGAGTACAAGATGGCGCAGCTTGTTGTCACACAGGATATCCCATTTTCGCGGCTCAAAAGCGCTTGATAAAAGCGCAACAGCAACCATAAACTGACTCCGCCTATGAAGGCGGAGTGAACAAGTTCCACCTCGATCACTTTTAGAAATCGTTAGCGATGATAATTGCTAATCTTATCGAATATGCCTAGGAGAATGAGTCGCAGCAAGTGGCGACTAGATTCAGAGAACTCGCGCAAAGTTTGATTAACTCATTCATGTTCAGTCCCAAATATTAGGTCTTTTTAGAGCATTTTCAACGGGTTTTTTTTTTTGCTTTTCATTGTACTTACATCACGACTAATATGCTCTAGTACACCATGACCTAATGGTCCTAAGCTCCTGACAGCTCAACTATCTAGATTTAAGATGCGTGCTGGATATTTTCAGACATGTGATGAGAATCAGTAAATAACTTTATATCATAACAAGTTACACTGACTGCATTGTGGTCGTAAACGGTAAGGCAGGTTTTCCCATGAGAACGTTTCGCAATCAGCTCTTGCCATTGGTTCTACACCATCTCCGCCACAGCCAGTAGTTATCACTTCCTATCAACCTCATACGAACCTTCCTGTCCTACCCCTTATATCTTTCCTTGGAACCAACTAAGCAGTGCTGCCGTGATCCAGGCTGAGAATTTCGTAACCTTCCCTTTCTAACTTTCCTTCTCAGTTGTTATCATTTTCTGTCACCTGCTACCGGTGTGTTCGTCCCAACCCGAATATCTTGTTGGAAATACCCCCCCCCCCTCCGCTTTTTCTGAGATGTATGCATGCGGATTGTACATGAGAGAATGCTGTCCGACGTACCGTGGAGGTCGCGGTGAAGAGTTTCCGTACTTTGCATCGCCAATTAAAGGACATCCAGCCAGTGCGAGATGAGCACGGATCTGATGTGGGATTTCTGAAGCACATAAGTTTTAACTTTGCTTAAATCAATCTATTTATGGAACGCGAAATAGTCAACAAAGAAGCAAAGAACATGGCGTAGATTACCTCTGTGAGTTCGGAACTTCCACACTCGAAACATACTGATTTCCACGGATTGTGCGACATTCTGATTCCACGTAGAAAATGTCGCCTTTCGCCTTATTCGACACCAAAGGCACAAGCTAAAAAAAGACTTAAGATTTACTCGAAGAACGAGAGTTCACTGTCAAATTGAATGTCTGACGCCATTAACTCGATTCGGGCAAACCCTTACACGTACAAAATCGAGCACTT